AGCCATCATTGTTGTTTGGCGGGCCCGGGCTGGATTCGAACCCACCACCTTAGGTGTATGTGGCTGGCGCCTTAGCCAGTTGAGCCACAGGCGCCGAGCCGACTTTTCTAGCATTTAAGGCTAATTTGTTCTCTTTTTCCTCACAGCAACCCCTATGCCACCCGACCTAACCGTCGAGGCGATACTTGGCATGATCGAGATCGCATTCATGTTACTGTGCGGAGAGACAGAGCTCCTCCTGAGAGAGCAGGGGCTGGCACAAGCCAGGATGGGCCCTCAAAGAACTGGTTCAAGATTACAGTGAGTACTTTGGGAAGGCAGATGGTGTAGTGGAAAGAGGGGAGTTGGCTCAGAGTAAAAGTGTCTACATTTGATTCCATGAAAATCAGTCTTCTCAGCTGTTTATAATCTGGTATCTATATTTTCTCCTAAGAATCAGTATCTTACAATACCTAAGAATAGGCTAAGGTATAGAAGGGGATATAGAAGGGGATAGGCAGGATGGAGCAGAAGGGAATGTATTCACTTGGCTCAAGCAGAATATGGAGCTTATAGTTCTGGAGTTCTCTGAGGAGCATTCAAGGTATAAATAACATCTTGAAATTTTTGTTTTTATTTATTTCTTTATTTTTTAGAAATAAAAAATGTGGAATGCAGTGATATGATTGGAGTGCAATGGAGTACAGTGATATGATTATAACTGGAGTGCATTTGGAATGCAGTGATATGATTATAACTGACTGTAAACTTGAACTCCTGGCCTCAAGTGATCTTCCCACCTAAGCCTTCCCCCAAGCAGCTAGGACTATAGGCATATGACACCAAACCTGGATAATTTTCATTTTATTTTAGAGATAGTGTCTTGCTGTATTTTCCAGGCTGGTCTGTAACTCACCCTGTTGCTCAGGCTGGTCTGGAACTCCTGGAACCTCTAGTAATCTGCCATCTCAGCCTTCCAAAAGTTCTGGGATTATAGGTGTGACCCACCACACCTGTCCATCTTGGAATTTTGAGGATAAAAAATTTTGACTGTTTTGAGGAATAATAACTGGACAGAAAGGAAGTTAAGGAGTCTACAAGTATCTCAAGCAGAAAACCTATGACTTTTCCTCTTTTAAGAAAATCTTCTGGCTCGGCGCCTGTGGCTCAAGCGGCTAAGGCGCCAGCCACGTACACCTAGGGTGGCGGGTTCGAATCCCCAGCCCGGGCCCGCCAAACAACA